CACTAGCATTGTACTATACGAAAATGTAATTAAAAATATACATACATACCAACAACCAAAAAAAAAACAAATTCATAAAAAAATAATTGAAGAAGCAAAAATTTGGCAAACAAAGAGCAGCACTAATTGTGTTACTAATTAATGTGTAAATAAGAATGTAAATTATTTCGAAAAAAACAACAACAACAAAATAAAATAAAACTAGATACATAAATACTATTTAGATTACTTGGAAATGCAATTTTTTGCTTAAAAGCAACCAAAATATGATACGGAGTAGCAAGTTTTTTTCAAAATTGACCAACAAAAACAACAAGAAATGAAAATGTGAATCAATGTGTAAGTAAACAGGAATTCTATGTATTTATATGTATTTACTACTAATTACCTACTTACTAAATACTTATATAAATGATTCCAAGTTCTAACTTAACTACTGACGCATACAGAAAAATAAAAGCAAATAAAAAAAAAAAATTCAAACGAATATCATAAAAAAAAATGTATTTCGATAGTAGTTGTGCGTAATTACTTAGAACTCTTCTTGTAATTGATTGATTAGTTTCATATAGTACTATGTATTTAATTTGCATTTGCATTTGCATTAAATGTGAAAATTTAATACTTAGACCCCCATAAATGCACACTTTTATTTAACGCTACTCTAAAGAGAAAAATAAATCAATTTCAAAAGCTTCTTAGAAATGTATAAATAAATATTTATATAAATAGACTATATTTACTAAAATATTATTTTCATTACATTTACTCTTATACATATATACATATATATATATGTGTATGTATTTATAATTAATTAGACATACTAATGGTGAACAAAAACAAAAAAAAAACATAATTAAACAAGATGAAGAAAACATAATAATAAAAGAAAAAACCAAAAGAATGCAAACCGAAATAAAACAAAATAAGAAAATAACAAAAAAATGCTTTCAACTGAATAAAAGTTCTTTGGAAATTATTATGCAACAAAATCTGGTTTTCATATACGATTAGAATACATACTACGTTTCACTTTAACGGCTTTAACAGAACAATAATTGGGTGGCTCACTCGAAAAGTGGCACATTTTGGATACTTTCACCACTGATCTAGAAGGTAACGGTTAACTAGCTCTTAAGTTCAGATATGTGGTAAGTATCTAGGAGTATTTGCAGACGGCTAACTATAATGCTGGAACTTAGCAAATGAACAAGTATTCTTCGCCTTATACCCTTGAGTCTAAAGTATTTTTGCAAGGGAATTAAAAAAAAATAAAATTTGGGTTTTCAAATTTTGTCGTCATACACTGAGGGAAATAATGCATAGTAAAAATGAATACTTTATATTTGATTATCGTTTAAAAATGTTCGTATTTAAAAATAATATTTTCATACAAAATTTATTACGCACCTATTTGAATGTTCACATCTGAGTATGTACATATATGTATGTAAGTGTACATATGCACCCCAAGCATGCAGAGCGGCGCTCTGAGAGCGGTGACAACACACACATACATACATACATAGTACATACATGTTTATCCGTACAAATCGCGTGCTGTGGTGTTGATGGATATTCAACATTTAAAAGCAAATTTATATGGCTGGGTGTAGCTGAATGCGCAGAGATGCTTGCCACAAGTTGTTGATATTCGCAGATGGTCGGGTTCGAATTCAACTGCAGGCAACATGCAAATTAATTTTTTTTTTAGTTTTTGTCTTGATTATTCACTTCACGGATGCTTCTTCAGTACGAACGCGGTCATTTTAATATGCGCGTAATTGAATTGAATATTTACCAATATACAGTACTTTCATTGACGTTTATAGTAAGATCAATTACGTTTCTATTTGATTTTAATATTTTTTTCCCTCAGTGTATATTTGAAATTTATAGTCGGATCTTAAAGTATGATATCTGTCTATGTATTTATATAACGATTTTTTTTTTGTTCCAAACTTAAGTGTCCTCAAGTACCCCGTCCTAATACTCAGATCTTACCATCATAACGTACTAATGATTAAATTAAAATTCACTATGAATCATTAAACTTTTGCTAAAGGAATATTTCGGTAATTTCAGTGAAACTATTAAAAAGAATATTTGTATTGCCGAATGTATTTCCGAAATATCTTTGCAAAAAGACTCAGGAGTGCAAGGCGAAATTTTTTTTGGTATACTTGAAAGGTGGTATGGTCTAATATTATTTTTTCGCACTACAATCATATCTATTATGCTATAACGTTTCACTACTCGGATGGTTAAATCTTAAACTTTCCCAGACTTTCAGATATTCGCCCATAATGCTTTTTTATACATTTTTTCTATGTGAAAAAAATCTCATCTTCTCATCACACGTTCCTTCGCATAGTATACATACTTGCATAAGGATTTGGTGATTATATATAGTTGCTAAAAGTTTGGCTGAGCTTTCTCTTACAATTTATGATGTCCGTATTGATGTTATCAACAAACGGAGCGGTCTATAGTTTTTTAGCGCCTACGAACGGCAGCTAGATTTTGATGAAACACTTTTTCATAGCATAATTACACTTGAAGGGTTGCCAAATATCTCTTTTGCAGTTTCTTCAGGAATGTACAAACCTGTGTACTCGCCAATAAGAGTCATTTTTTTCAGGAACATTAAAAAGTAATGAACATTTTTTTTTAGTAAATCTATTTTTATTAAATGCATCAATTACGAAAATAGAATTATGTATCCAGTTACGGTTACTCCAATATGTATGTATGTGTATTAACTTTCGAGAAATTTTATTTCGAGACATTTTATTTTCACAATTATACACGCTTGCAATAAATTTAATTTACTTGAAGTATAGCTAAATATAATTTTGCAGCCTTACCGCTGTCAGTCTGTGTTTACAAAAAGCATAAAAAATGTACATAAGGTACATACATGCGTACTTAATTGTATGTACGGTGGTCCACAAAATAATAGGAGTGCGATATTTTGATCAGTTTTGGCTATTTGTTGTCTCTTGTTTATTTAATGTTTACTATTTTACTATACAAGGCAAGCTGCGTATACCTACAACAAACACTAAATAAATTCAGATTTCAATCTTTGTACAAAAATTGTAAAAATTCTGCAAATTTTCACCCAAAAAAAAAAAAAAAAAAAAAATTTGGTTAGCAGTTTTGTAGCCCATTTAATTCTAGTCTAATGAAGTGCAAGCTTCAGGCTGCTAAAAAATCCCGTTGATTTTTGGCAATTTTTTTTTTGCTAGAAGTGTCCCCCATATAAAAGAAAATTGTCGGAACATACTTAGTACGGAAAAAACGTGAAACATCTTCAACCAAAAAAAAATAAATTCTCAAAAATTAACGAAATTTTTTACCTACTTGAAACTTGCACTTCTTTATACTAGAATTAAATGGCCGACAAAACTGCATACCAAAATTTTTTCTAGAGATTCTGATTATAAAGATTGACATTTTGATGAAAATTTACAGATTTTTTATATTTTTTGTACAAACCAAGGTACATTGAACAGGTAGTATCAGTAGAGCAGCTGATTTGATTTATTTTCAAATTATTTGGTCTCGAAAATGTCAAATATTTTTAATTTTTTCTCACAAAAATTCTGAATTGTTAAAATCCATTTGCATGTGAAACCTTTTTCCATACAAAACAANCCTTGCAAAGGATGGATCAATGCTTCGAGAAGCAAACAAATTTACTAGGAAAGAAAGTTGCATCAATTTTTATTTTTTCCAATTTCAATTTTTTATTTTTTATAATTTTTTGTATTTCACATGGCACGCTTTGATTTAGAAGAAAAAATTCAGAACAGTTTTTGACACTTTCGATACCAGAAGCAACAACAAAATACACGCAAATGTTGTTTTTGCTCTACTGATACTACCTGTTTAATGTGCCTTGGTACAAACCTTGAAATGTAAATTTATATGGTGTTTGTTGTATTACCAGCTAGACTTTTATAAAAACATAACAAACAATAAATAAGTAAAAGACAAATAGCCAGAATTAGTCAAAATATCGCACTACTATTATTTTTTGGACAACTGTATGTACATATATGTATATGCACACTTTTATATGCAAAACTTAAACTAAAATACGTTTCAAAATCGTAAATATCTTATTACATATGATATTCGTAAACAAACTATTCTAGCAAATGCCGTACATTCGTTTTGTAAAAAAGGCGTTGACTCTTCAAAAGAAAGTGCACTCACTTAAATTAAATAAACTTCAATGTTTTAGAATACAAAACTCAATAACTACGTTTATATAGCTACGTTTGTATATAAAGAATATTTTTATAGTCTTCATGTGTTTGTATTTTATTCACACGTATTATTAACTAATTGTAAACTTGTGGCAACAGCACCGACCGCTACTACTGTTTGGCAAATATGTTCGCATTTTGTGTGATTATCCTCTCGATGCAATTCTTTACATTGTTTTTGTGTGGCTCTGGAATGCTTTCCAGCTTGGGCAGCATTTTGATCAGGAAGTGAAAATCAGTGGACAGATTGATGTTCTTATGAGGCACCAGCTCTACTTGAGCCATGGATGTGGTAGCTTGACCATTAGCTTGACTCGCATTACTCGCATAACTAATGTTTGTGTTGTTGTTGTTGGCGTTGTGATTGATGTTGTGTGGAGCGAAGCGCTTTATTACGGGTGCACTGTCATTGTTGCTGTGGTTGTTGTTGTTGTTGCGCGCAGCCACATTGACCGGCGCCGACACAATGACCGGCGTAGCAGCAGATATCTGCTTAATTTGACATTGTGTGCCAATTTTATGTTGTTGTTTGTTGTTGTTACTGTTGCTAAAGTTGCCCCAAATGCTGCCGGTGCCGCTATTAAAGTTGTCACTAAAAGGGTTAACAACAATGTTGCTGCCGTTCTGCGAAATGTTGTTGGTGCTGCTGCTGCTGTTTGTTGAAATAATTTTTGTGCGATTCTTTTTTGGTGGCAGTGTAATTGGTAGTCTTTCATTGGTTTCTTCAGTCGTCTTTTTTAAGTTATGTTGCTGTTGTTGTTGTGGTTGTGGTTGTGGTTGTACGGGTTCAGACTTAACGATATTTAAATTGGCAGTAATGCCGTTCAGTAGTTTCGATGTGGCCACCGGGGCCGGCGGCGGCGGCGGCGGCGGCGGCGTCACGTTCGCCACCATCGGCGCCGCAGACGTATCTTTGGCCTGTATACGATTCAATATCTCTGGCAATATCTTCTCAAACTCCTCCGTCAGCACGCCACTATCTGCTTTGTCAGCAAAGAGTGTCAACTTTTTTGAACCACCTGCAGCGCCTACAATCAGACCGTTCTCTCTTTTTACATAATTTTGGCCATCATTAGCTAAATTACCACCTTCCTCAGTCCCGCCTGGACAGTCTTCTGGACAGCTATTCTCCTCCATGATTAGATACATTTTTCTCTTCTGCCCCGATGTTGCACCGCCACCCGCTGCCGTTGTGGACGTTTCCGCTCCTTTGGGTTCATCCGATTTTTCAGTGATCATAAATACTTTGCGATTACGTAACGTTGAAATGGCATTTGTATGTTTGCACAGCAAACTGTTCAGTGTACGTGGCGGCGCCTGAGAAGAAATATGTGAGGTGAGTAAAGATTTTGTCGTTGCTGCTGCTGTTGTTGTTGTTGTTGTTGTTGTTGACATTTTTAGCGCTGTTTGTGGTGGAGGCGATTCGGTGTCAGAGTTTGCATCGCTGATCTGCGAAATGGATGAGGCGACTGATGAAATGGAATTTGTACGTTTCGGTGCTGTAACAATGATCGTCGATGAGCCGCCACCGCTGTGCACGGAATTAGCCAGAACTGCCGATTGACGGAAGCGTTTCTATGGAAAAAGAATAAAAACATTTATCAATTAAAAAGTCTATAGAAAGTTTAAAAAAATTTTGAGCTAAATTAACAGTAATAAGAGTAGTCAATCACATTTATAATCATCGACCGTTGATTTACTACAAACAGCAAAACATGATATCAGATCACTACACTGAAAATAAAATTTCGTAAAAGTACTACGAAAAACCTTCGTAGTCTTGGTTTTGTACTTCATTTCAAACCTCAGCTTCTGTTTATTATATCTTAAAAAATTATCACAGAATGAACATTAAAATTTATTTTACCCTTTCAGTCATACTACTATTGGGTTTAAAATTTTGTATTTTGGTATTTGTTTTTGTATTTTATTTAGTTTTGTAAACTGAGTTCAAAATATAACCACATAACCAGGAACGAAATATTTTAACCTCACTTGTTTTTGATTCTATTTACAAATATTTTGTTCAACATAGATTCCATTTGCGCCAATGCTTCTCTAAGCCAAGCTGTGTAATATCCAAAAAAAAAAAAACCTGAACTTACGAAGGCGTCCGTTTGTTCCATTCACCAGCGGTGCAGGTTAGGCTAAATAAGTTGGATATTTTAAATATTTAACGGCAAAGTAATTTCTTGCACCACCAACTTCTCCGAAAAATTATTATCCCACAGCCATGAAACAGACCTTCCAATAAATGTGAAAAAGCTTTTTTTTAAGTGCAAGATAAATTTTTTAAATAAGCGTTTGAAAGGCAAAAGGTAGCATCGATTAATATTTATAAACCACCCATATCCTATTTAAATTTTTTTTCTTTAAATCTTGTAACCATTAATATTACGTGTTTCGCTTTTATATTGGCATTAACTGTCACTTTTAATTGGTTACTGCATTGGCTAATTTTATTAAGATTTCTGTTTTTTTTTTTTTTTGTGAAAAATCTTTTCTACTAATTTCCCCATTTTAACATATTTTTCTGCCTAAAAATATCAGCATCAACGAAGCATCAACTTTGTTTCTGATGCGCTGATTGCTCTAACGATGCGTTTTGGAACAGTATACATTGTCGACATTTTGTAGTTCGACGTTATGGAACCTTATACATTGTACGTATGCAAAGCAATTGACGTTTCGGAAGTCAGCCTTATTACCCCTTTTGTAGTCAAAAAGGGTAATTCTTTTTAATATTTCTGGCCTTTACCCTTTAAAAAAAATCTAAGGGGCGAACACTTCCAATAAGTTAGAATAAGGTAATGTCAAATCTTGCTTCTCGCTCTTATTACTTCACCTGGTATTATTGCACCATGACTTAGTATCACATAAAACGGTAACGCAGCGTATGTATCACACCATATTGTTTCACAGCATAACATATCAAAACATAGCACAACGTTTCACAGTCACTTTGTTTCAAAATTTATCACATACAATGACATATGTATATCACATCACTTGAATATATGTATCATATCAGGTCACATCTCATTGCATCTCGATGCGTTACATCATATAAATAGCACCCGTTCATATTATTCATCATGAGGTCAGTTAATGTAAAAAACCCAAAATTATTGAGGCATTGTACTAAGTAGACCAAAAATATGTATACAAAATCCAACTTAAGCGCTTCTTCTCTTTTAGCTCATTTCAGTGTTGTTTATTTATTAAATTCTCCAATGAAATTCTCATCCCCCATCAATTCACCGTTTTTTTCGCTTACCTTGGCATCGTTCAGCGGTGCTGCAATATGACACGTCGTTGCTGTTGTAGTGTCGGATTTTGTTATGGCGGCAGCGGTTCTGGCAGTTGTTGCCATTAACGCATCCTTTTTCAAGCGCATCGGCGTTGTTTTTATTCGCGTTTTAGCCATTGTCTATGTTGCCGGTTATTATTCTATTTACTCGTTTGTATACAGTTTAATTGTTTTTTTTTTTATTGTAGCGAGACCCTTGATTTCGATTTCCATACAAGTGCAATCTTTCGGTTGCCCATTAACGTCTTCTTTTTATTTTTCGACTGCTTAGGTTTTGTAGTTTTTGCTTGCAGCAGCAGCAGCAGCAGCAGCAACAGCAGACCACCAGCACCACCAATGAGCGACTGGTGCACCAGAGTGCGTTGACGTTCTTCGCCCTTTCCGTCTGCGATGCTACGCTTAGGCTTTTCCTCCTTTATTTTTGCTTCACAGTTCACCTTGAAGTTTATGCTACGCGTGCAGCGACGTCGTCTACTTGTTAGAGGCAGCTGCTAGTGTCCAAACAAACGAGTTGGAGGATAATGTTGCACAAACAAACAAAAAAAAAACAAAAACATAAAATGAGAGTTTGAAATTATTTTAGAGTTCTGTGCGGTGAGACGGTTCTTCTCTCAGTAAAGTCATTTACTGTTTGCATGTACATACATACATACATATGTATGTAAGTATGGCTTAACAAAAGCTTTCGGCTACGTACATTGACCGTTGCCATTGATTAAAAGAGCTTTCGCAATGGAGCTTTGGTACGTATACATTGGAAGATTCTTTCTTGCCAATGTTATAATAAAAATAATTGCAGCGATGCATGCAGTTGAAGCTTTGGAAGACGAAATATGCATTCGAAACGCTGTACCGCGCCCCTCGCCCCAAGCGACATTACACATACATTCGTATGAACTTACATGCAATATACATATCGCACACGATCTTCAAAAGTGGCACAACTCAAAATTACATGCTCGTCAGAAAATGCGAAAAACTATTTCGTAGCACCTTAGGTTTTTCCAACAAATTATATCAAAAATTTGCTCCAGCTTTTGCTTGAAGGTAAATAAAAGCTCTGTGTGCATTTTTAGTGCCTTATTTCAAAAATGCCAAATTTTAAGTTGTGTCACTTTTGAAAATCATGTGCGATATGTACAAACTTAATACATTTGCACTGGCTTAGTTAGAAATTTCCAGTAACTGCAAAAAAAGCACTTCCAACTAAAGCGTGGAAAAACGGCAATGGCATGAAAGAATTCTTTTTTTGGTTGATTTTTTTTTTTAACTTTAATTTTTTTTAGGTGTTCTATAAATATACACGCAAACGAGTTGCAGCCGGATGTGGGGTCGTTGGCGCTGCAAT